GGTGCACTCTCCTAGCTAGCAGATGGTAAAAGGTCTATTTGGCTGTTACTACTACTATTTGGGTGTTTACTGTTTGATACAGAGACCTGCATTCAACCTTCATAACTGGCAAACATAGCAGTTGCCTTTGATTTCCAAAATATTCATTGTTGCAACTTCCCACCTACTCACACTGAAGGAATTGGCATCTAGGTTGCTGTAAGGGGAGAAGGCTTACCGAAGTATTATGGGAGTGGTTTTAAGAAAATGTGGAGTACATACATGCAATATTTTTCTCTTTCTGTAACTTTTAATGCTCTCAAGTTATCACAATGTGCTGATGTATTTCTTCATATAAAACCCTTCAGAGAAAGGATCATAACATTTGTGCAGTTTTAGGAGAACTCTGCACCATGTAAAACCTTGCTCGAGAACCGATTTGCAAAGTTCTTGGCATATTTCCTCGATAAGGTGGAAATGCTAGCCAATGCAATTAGATGTTATTTCGTGAAAATAGAGTAGGCCTATTTGGGGGAGGCACTGGTTATACCTGACTGCCAGCCCAGCTCGATCCTGGTAAAGAGGCCCTCTCTGTGGCTACATGGGATATAAATACCTCCCCCACTGCCAGTCAGCAGGAAGGGCATTGCAGTGACCTAGTCCTGACCTGGCTTTAACTGTTTTCTGCCCATCACTAAACTTTTCCCCTTCTCCACACCTGCTGCAGGGAAGCCCTTAAAGTGGCAACACCCCTTTTCTTCCAACTAGCTAGACAAATACCCACTCGTATAAAGGTTGCAGTGGGCACAATCATGAAAATAGAGTAGGCCAGTTTGGGGAGGCATTGGTTAATACATGGCTTGTACAGAAAGTGGGCTGCATTATTCCAGAAAATTCAGATTTGTGAAGGAAGCCTTGATTTGCTCAAGCAGGTTAAGATGGTGTCCTTTCATTAGACAACATACAGTTGGGCTTGCTTTTTGGTAAGGGCTAAAGTTTCATTGTATATTTATAATGTATTTATTTAAAGCTGCAGCTTCATTTTGAAAAGGTTGTTATTTGCGGGCAAAGCAAGGAGGAAAGGAGGAGGATGTGGCCACCAGCCATATTAAAATAACTTGTTGTTCACTGGTTACACTTACAGCTGGTGCCTTATTTAAATTGCTTTTTAATTATTTTAAATATAATGCTTCATAAAGATCTGAGCTGAAGCAGCACTAAAGAACACACTGCTGTATCAAATGATTTGTTTTACAGAGCTGGGAGAGATACACGCACAAAGCTTGTGGCTGGAGCATGAGTATCTGCAGCTTTCTGGAAATGAAACCTCAGGTATGCTATGGGTTTATATAAAACTAAATGCCAGAGAAAGCACAAATAAATTAAAAATCCCCAAAAGAAAAAAAGCAGGTTTCAAATGCTGCAAGTTGTTTTTGTCCAGCAAAGAAATAACATTTTAAAAAAATTCCACATGCATTCTACTGTGAGAAGTAAAACAGATAAGATTTTATCCCTGATTACTTGAATGCCACAGATTTTTTCATTGTATCAGTCTGAGTTCAAATCTAGGAATGGAACTGAGACTGTATTGGTATAAATGGCTGGTGAGTTCTTTTTAGCAATGGACAAGGGATCAGTGGCCATGCTGATTTATCAGATTTGTCGGGAGCTTTTGATATTATTAACCCATAGGTATTGTTGACTTATCCAGTGAATCTTGTGGAAGTAGTGGATTCATTCTTCCTTTATAAGGGCTCCCAGACAGTACTGCTCATTTTCTCCAATAGCCCTCACATGGAGTCCTACAGGATTTTGTAACCCTGCTATTCAGTATTAATCTGACAGGGTTGATTGTGAGATGCTTTGGATTGAGATTTCATCAAATTGCCAGTAGAACTCAGCTCTACATCTTCTTTTCACTGAATTCAGACTCCCACTGTCTGATAGAGAAGGGGATCTGGAGGTAGACAAACTGGTTGCACATTAGCCTGGATGAGGCTTATTGGCCAGGGGAAATATCTAAAGCACTTGGAGGAGGCACTATTTGCATCATTTTCCAGGGTTCACCATTGCAATGTGCTGTAGTATAGGGCTATTCTTGCAATCTACCTGGATACCCCATATCAAGCAGAACTCACCCCCTTTGTGGGGCAAGCTGGCATGATAAATACTATCTGTGCTGAAGTCTCTGTATTGGTTTCCCTTCACTTTTGGATTGCAACTTCAGATGTCAATGGAAATCTTAAAAGACCAGAGTGGTTATTCAAGAAGTTATCTGAACTTTGTACCCTAGCATGGCAGTAAAGATGGCTGAGTGGCTCTTGCTCTTGGTCCCTAAATTTGAAATCTCTACCACAGATAGCAGGGCTCTTATCTGAGGGCTCCATCTTTGGAATTCACTCTTCTTGGTAACTTCTCAGGACCCAAGATTAGAGATCATCATGGCATCACCAGGCCAATGGGCCATATCCTCAGCAGGTGTAAATCAGCACAGCTACATTGACTTCAATGGAAGCATGTCAGCGTACACTAGCTGAGGACATGGCCACATTTTATTCAGTGCTTTGTTGACTGATTTTGTTATGTTCCTAGTCTTACTTTTGAAAATTTGCGATGTATTCACTCTTGGAGTGCCTACTTGCCACTACAATAGAGACTACAGAAATTAGCACAATCAACACATAATAAAGGAGCAGCTTCCCTGCCCCCTCCACCACCAAATTGCCAGATACCAAATGAGCCATTTGGAAGGAACTTATTAGAACACTCTATTTACTGCAAGTGGGACAACAAATTTTAATCCCCACATGCTGGGGATGGCACTAGCCAGGCCTTTTGAAAGGTGAACTGTACGGAAAGCCACTTCTTAAAGTGTCCAATGGAGGCATTATGTTCCAGGCACTGTAGAGCAGGACAAGTGCATGCCACTGGGTCTCTCTTGAAGGCATCAAAACATGAGGTTGGGCATTTGGGGACAGCATATGGTAGGGTGAATTGGAATTATGATAATCTAAGCTTCAGGGACCTTTCCTGAATCTGGGCTGTGGGTGTAAAAAAGAATTTCACACTCACCATGATTTTGAATGGGTTTCACACAATAGTAGGGACTAACTATTCAGAAATCTTGGGTGACTGAAGGCATTTTGCACCTTTTTTACTTCCTCCCTCAATGCACCAAAATAAGCAGTTATGTATTAATCCATAAACGAAGTTACTGCATGATTATTAAATAATTGTTCAAAACTATAGTGAGTCAGTTTGTCACTCCATTTCATGTTTGGTCCTCTCTCTTGCTGTCCCTTCTGTGCTGGAGTCTCTGGTGCAGATCTGATGTTCCTACATGGGTCTCCATTGCCTCCTCATGTTGCTTGTAACAATTATGAAAATAATCTCTTAAGAGAATGAGAAAATACCTAATTTTCCTTCATGATTATGGCCATATTTGCATGTAAATCATTGTTCTTTCAGGTAACAATGATGATAAAATAGAATTCCTGGGGTCCTACTCTCCCTCCACAGGATTTGAGTAAATCTCATTGACTTCAAGTGAACACAGAGAGAGTAGCAAATGGGGAGTGCTCCTAGGGAGCTCTGAAAGGAGAGGTTGAAGTATCTGAACTTTGAGAAGGGAAGTTACTCATATCCTCTGAGTTTGTGTGTGGGTTGGAAGGATGGGAGGGCAGGAGGGGTGAAATAGGGTCCCCTGGTGTCACACACTTGTGAGTGATAAACACAGGAACACTCCAAACTAAGTCCTGAATCATTAAACCCTCCTCACCACTAGGTGGCAAACATGTACCCTTAATGTTCCTAATGGCTATTAACTAGCTCAACAGTTCTTTTCAATCAAGTTAAAGAATTCAATACACTAAATAATTATTCCCTATCTCTCCTGGGAAAGGTTGTGGATCAGGGTAAGCATGACTATGTTACAATTACAATACTATTTTCAGAGACCTACAGATACAAGTAATTTTCTCTTTACGACAGTGCATTACAAGATTTCCCCATTCCTGTTTACTAAAATCTTAGAGATGTCTCTAAGATAAGAATAGAATTCATATTAAACAGGATAAAAAGGCACTGCTGTACTCAGTGGAATCCAGAGTTTCAATATGTTTTTATAATAGCTGGATTTCACCAAAAGCACGACAAGATTTTAAGGATGACATGGAGCAGAGTTTGGGCAGTAGACTGATGACAAAAGTTGGAAATAAATATGTAGAAACAGCATGGTAATAGGTAGTGTTATATTTGCCTCCCCAAAACTTAAGCCAACAGATCATCCATCCAACAGTGTACTAATATGGATAACATCTGTACTATTGCAACTTTTAATTCTCATGCTGCAATTTCTAGGAAGTATTCATGGGGGAAATGTTGAATATCATTCCTTATTATATTTTTCTCGGATGCTGAAAAAGGTCTAGACTGAACGCAATGTTTAGAACATACATTGTGGTTTGTCCATAACAGCCATTTAAATAAGAACCCTCTGGATTTTGTATGCAATTGTTCCTCATTTACTAGTCTACAATACAAAAACATGATACACAGTCCATAATAGACACCATGCCTACCACCCACACTAAGTAATGCACTTGGGTATTTCAGCTATTTAAAGGGAAGGATAGTAAGCAAAGTATGTACCCATCAATCTGTGTAAAAGATTTGGAGGAGAAATGAGGTGTGTGTGTTTTTGTTCCTAAGGAAAAGGGAATACTGAACTAAATCAAAGAACAGAAACGCTTTAACTGACATGAAAAGTAATTTTATCCAGTGATCACAGAAATCTGTTTCTGGAAAGTAGGTACATACTTGGAGATTTAAAGCATAAACTATGTTTATAGCTCCCTCTGATGACCATTGGACACTACACAACATAAGTCTTCTTTTATTTTTGTTCATGCATTCAACTGACAGCTGACTGGTTAAATTCTAATTGCTTCCAAGTGAGGTCAGCAAAGGTATTTATCGAAAAGGACTGAACAACAGGCTCAACACACACACGCACGCGCACGCACAAGCGCATACACACACCACCACTCTTGCGTGTTGATTTATGGAAACAATTATAATTCTGCTGAAGTCTTTCTGAGCTGAGAAAGTTTGTAGCTACAGTAGAGAGTCTCATGTTGCAAAAGGCAGACAACAGAAATGGAATACTTGTGTATCCAGCTGTTATCAACAGAAACAAGTAAGTTATCGGTCCTTGATGTATGTTAGAAATAAGCTTCTTGACAATTTCTTTAAAAAAAAAAAAATCTACAAGTAACTGAACTAGGTATGTATAAAAATACAGTCCCACGAATATCTGGTCTGTCCTGACATTTAAACTAGAGAAGTGCAGACAGCCCTTTAGGAAGAATGTGGCTAACTGTAAAGGTATAGGCATGAAGTAATGAAATGTAAGAGATGCAATAGCATTTTACTATGTATGAGTTTTGTAACTCAGCTGAATCAACAGCTTATTTGAAAGACTTATTTCTGAGCTACACAAGGAATTGTACATAGTTCAAATGTGTGCTGCTGTCAAGAGCTTGTAAGATATATCTTGTGTGCACGCTCATGTATGTTTCTTAAAGAAGTTAAGTCACTGTATAAAGTTAGAAGATGTTTTGCTATGCTACAGTACTCATGCAGCATATATTATAGTCGCACACACGTAACAATTGAACATAAAATTTATCCATGACACTTTTCTCATAGATCTTTTACTTTCAGTGCAAGCAGCAAATTCAAGTAGTACAGAAGGTCATGACAGCCAAGGTTATTATAACCTGTTTCTTTAAAGGATATCCTGACTGAAAAGATATTTAAGGAGCTATCCTGTTTCAACATCAGTAACTATTAAGGAATAAGGATCAGAATTCTGGAAGAGGAAGCAATCTCAATTAAATCAATCTACAACTCGCTGTAAAGACAGAAGGCAGGTCAATGACCTAGGAGCAACGATCTACTTGAGATTTAATTTTCATTATGTTGTTCATGAACACCCAGAACACCGCACTATAATGCACAAATGGATACTGACATGGATCCTGCCAACTTTGCTCTACAGATCATATTTTTACATTATCTTTCTAGTGGGCACTATATCTTTAGCTTGCAATGACATGACTCCAGAGCAAATGGCTACAAATGTGAACTGTTCCAGCCCTGAGCGACATACCAGAAGCTATGATTATATGGAGGGGGGGGGATGTAAGAGTGAAAAGACTTTTCTGTCGAACTCAGTGGTATATGAGGATTGATAAACGAGGCAAAATAAAAGGGACACGAGAAGCAAACAACAACTACAGTAAGTGATGTCTCTGCTTTTGAAATTTGTACTGAAAGATTTTAAAATTTATGCATTGTTGGCTTTTTATCCCTTCATTTATGATGCTTTCACAATAATTTTGTATAGCGCTATAACCATTCTATTAGACATGTTTTCCAATTAATCATACAGCAGGACATTTGGTATTGATTTTGAAATGCGTCACTTTAAATAATACGTTACCAGTATGTTGTAGATCTAATGTATTAGTTACAGCTGGTAACTATTAGCAAACAGAGCGCCTATTTTAACAAGTGAATTAAGGTTGTACATCTGAAAATATATAACCACAAACTCTATGCCCATAAAGTACTTATGAAACGTTAAACCATATTTATGTAGGATGCAAACAACCTACAAGCTCAGTATGTGTGATTGAACAATTAAAATATATTCAATATTAGAAAATTCAATGGAAAGTATTATGAAAATTGCCTTGCAAAACCATTTGCACAATTTGCCAGGCTAGGAATAAAACCTATTATTGCTTCTACAGCTCATTATTACTAGGATAATGAAAGAATAGTCTCCTCTCTCACTTCCAAAAAGATCAATCACCCAGAGAGGGTGGACATGTAAAATTATACTAAATATACTTTTAGCATGGACTAAGCGTGTTTGATTGTAATCCTGATCCACCTATATCAATATTTAAAATGATTTTCATATACAACTATTTTAAGATATTATGTTTGCACGCACTGATTTTACCCATTTGACAATTTGTGTACAGAATTGTAAATTTAGGCAAATACCACATCTACTTCAAGAAAATTGGTGCATAATTTATTTAAGACAGAAGAAAAATACAGAGAATTATACATTGTAGCACTTAAAATGAGAATAAGTACAAAATTATTATTGCTTTAAAGTGTCAGAGGTATATGTTGGTCTAGTGAACAGTGTTTATTAAACAACAAATTTCTGTCCTGTGATGCTTTTAAATGTTATTCTATTATTTTCCATATAAATTAGGAAGCATTATAGAACAGCAAAAAAAAAAAAAAAATCAATGTGCGAGAGATGGTAATATTAGTCATTTTTCAGTAGAAAATTTACTTTTTTTCCCCAAACAAATTCTTATTCTTTTCAAGTATTGTACTGCATCATATTTACTTCATGATTATAACTAGCATCAGGCATCTTACATAACTCAAAGTTCTCTTTGCAATTTTTACTGTTTCTTTTTAAAATTTGTTTTTATACTAGTCTCCTTTTTTTCTACAGTCTATTACATCATGTATAACCATATGGCTTGGGAAATGTAAAACATCAGTTTATTGGCTATGGGCCAAATCCAGCGATTTTTTTTTAGTTGGTTTTTACTCAGGCAACCTCTCATTGACTTCCAGTGGGACATTGCCAGAGTAAAGACCACAGAACTATATCTACAAGTGAAATCCTGGCTCCCTGACTTCAATCAGGCCAGGATTTCATCCTAACTGTTTCTACATAAAAAGTCTTCTGATTTTTTTTTGCAACACTAATGCATACTACAATCATATTTTATCTGTTTATTACTTCTATACTGTCTCTCTAGATGAGTTTATAGCATCACATTGCCGAATAATTATGAAAATTTGCTTTTCATTATACCATGCTCTTTAACCAATATGTTGGTTCATAATTTAACATTATTTCAAATTCAAGTAAAGGCTCTTAATCTGTGATTCCATGTTTTTGTTGCATAGTAATGATTTTAATAAGTGTTTATTTTAGGATTCAATTACTACTATCTAGGTTTTTAGTTAAATGTAGCATATTTGCCTCAAAGTTTGGGGTTTTTTGGCAACAAAATCCTCAATACTTTATCTGCTAAATCAGGAATGCGATAAGGAGATGTCTCTGCCACATGTAATTTTACGCACAGAAAGGCGGGAGGTCTCCCAGCATATTACATTTAATCTGCTTGCTGTACTTCATCTACTGCACATACTAGGAGATAATTACTTTAGTGCTTTTGCTGGATAAGCAGAATAGAGAAAACAATACACAAATAGAGGGCACGGGAGAAATCAATTTAGCAATGGTAACAGGGTAGTATTTTCAGAGGACCTCCTGTGTATTATCAAATCAAAATATAAATCAGAAGAAACTCACTTTATTTCCTCTTGATTTAATTCAGATGCCTACAGTTTGGGGGTTTTTTTGTGGGGGGGGAGGCATACCCTCAGTGCAAATGAACATGAAAGAAATCTTTCTGAAGATGTGTTTATGGCCATATACTAAACACATTTCCAGTCTGTGTTCAGATATGAAAAAGATTGGACTAATTTGCTTTCCCCAGCCAAATTTTATTTTTACAGCAGTAAACTCAAACACCTCTTATTTTTACCTAACTTGTCTTTAAAATTATATCTATTACCTAAATGGACAAATCCACGTGTGTAAACTTCAATCGTCTCTGTTAGGTGACTCACTAGTTTGCAATGCTCAGTGCTGGAAGTGGTAAACCAGACCATTCATTTTCTCTGCATGGATGATACCCCAAAAGAGTTACATCAGAGTCAACCAGCTTCTGTGGCTGTCAATGATTCAGGTGCTGCTCTGAAAAATGTCTTCATATTCTATGCTGCCAGCCCCACTGTATAATCTTAGAACAATGCAAAAATATTTCTCTACATTTGAAAGAGGAAACCCCAACTTTCTCCCATAAGAAATAGAAATGCTGATGTAAAAACACTGTGGTTTCCTGTATCCTGAATGTAGGAGAGAATTTAAGCTAGAACCTGTCATAAAGCCACAGATGTAGAAGAGGAACCCAACACCCCTCTATCTGCTGGTTCACTATCAGACGCATGCGATAAACTCAGATTCAAGTAGGGAAATCTCATTGTAAATATTTAAGTGTTAATGTATTTTAAGTGTTAATGAAAGATGCCAGATTGACAGTCTTGCAGACAGAAATCAACACTTTATCCATATACCATATATGTATTGTACAACATGGACAATAGGCAAAGCTTCCTCACAACTAGACATCTTTCAAGGATGACATACCATCATGTTGCATTGGCAACTTGAGAAGGACAAAATACACGGTGGTTTTCACATTAATCAAGATTATGGATCTGAGGTACCAAAGAATACAAATCAATGATTGTGAGGAGTCAATAAGTAATAAAAACAGGGCCAAATCTAATATGTAATTCTTTGCACATGAAACTTCTCCTAACATATAGAATGCGGTCACAATAATGTGGCCCTATGAAAAACATAGAAAATAGAACACATTCATCAAGCAGACTGATGTACAATTGTACATTGTTGCTACATGATAACATATTGAAGCAACTCCTTAATATTAATCTCAAATTCATTTCTCATAATTCAAAGTTAATTTGTTACAAATACTTATTGTAACAATTTAGTCAGCTTGGTGGAGTCCAAGAAATAGCACACCCCCAAAAATCTAACCTAATCTTCACATCTTCTGTGCTAGCAAAGCAAATTGCTGAATTCTGGGCCAGATCAATGATGACTCCCCTAGGCATAAGAAGAATGTTTATTGCACACACACATTTCAGTAAGGAGAACTTCAAATAAATATTTAAAAATGAATAGCTATTGAAATATTGTAAATCATTCGGGGGTTTTTTCCTCTTGGAACAAGACCTTCTGTATCAAACATCTCTATATCTGCGGGTAGAGACCCATCTCTTGGCCATACAGCTGAAAACTACAGAGTAAATTTGGTCAATCGTAAGATAGTATACTCCCCACCACTAGGCAAAGGAAATCATTCCGCATCTGACAGAAATAACCCCACTCTTCAGGCTCAAAGTTGAAGTGCAGAGTAAGAGCCAAGAGCCTCTCACTAGAACACTAAAATAATCATCAAGAGACAGATGTGAGGCAGAAGCCTCAGCCCTTCAGAATATTTAATTTCAGTTTTGCTTTCAATACCCATTTACTGTACTTTGCCCAAGTTGCTTCTCCTAGTCAACAGTCAAACATTTCGCTCAGTTAATTTCAGAGACAAACTAGCACATGAAATACAGACTGAGGAGGTATTCCTGTCTCAGTAATAGAATGAGGCCAAGCAAGTGGAGCAGAGAGGTGAGGGATAGATCTCTTAGTGATCAATTGCTACCTGTTGAAATAAATTTAGCTTCCCCTTATTACTGCTTGATCTTCCCATCATTTCAATTCTAATTATGGAAGTCTTGCAGATGTATTAGTTTTTGTGCAAAACTGAGTCAAAATAAGCTCTGTTTTTGACTTCCATCTGAAAGGATTTACAAGTAAGACTGGATGACGCTCTAGGAATTTACATGCTCTGTTGGTCTTGAAGTTTCATTCTGAGGACAAATGGCTTCTTAACTATTGCAAAAGCCTTCCCAGAATCTTGAATCATAACAATTTAAAAAAGTGAGAGAATTTTTAGATGTGAATTTCCAGTATCAAGCCACCTCTCAAACCAGGAAGTACCTTGTCCCCCACCCCCATTCTGTTTTGGATGAGGCCAAAATTCCTCCAAGAAATGAGGTTCTAATGAGATCTTAGCACAAAAAGCAGAAATGTCACACACAAACTTAGCCTTGTGAGACTTCTACTGTTTTGGACAAAATCTTATAAGAACATTACACAAGATTCAGCATCATTAATCAAACCTAAACTCTAGCCCATATTGAACCTCAAACCTGAAACCTCACCTCCTCCAACTCTAAACCCCACCACACTGAAAATTAACAAATTTTATCTAGAAGTGGACCAAACTGCTACATACTGTATACCCACATGCACAAAAAGCCAACATGATTGCATTGTTAACACAACTGCCCTGCACCTTTAGGCAGGCAGGGGTGGGGTGTTTGGCTGGCTGGCCGAATGAAGGGAACAGTGCTTTATGGCTGGGGGGAGGAGATGAAAACTGCTGAAAAGGGTCAGTGTGGTCGCTGACTCATCCCCTAGGAATGCAAGATTTAAAAGTGGCAGCTCTGCACCTGAAGCCTCCCTTTTACACAGAGCAGGCTGAA